AAAAAAAAGAGAGAGAGAGAGAAAGAGAGAAAGGACCCAAATAAATAAGATTACTAATGAAAGAAGAGAAATAACAACCAACACCATAGAAATATAAATAATTTTAACAGAATATAATGAAAACCTAAATATCAACAAATTCAACAACTTAGAAGAAATAGGTAAATTTCTAGGAAATATAACCCCCCAAAACTAATGTAGGAAGAAATTTTAAAAAAAAGCTTGAACAGACCAATTACCAGCAATGAAATTGAATCAATAATCAAAAAATTCTCAAAAAACACCAGTCCAGGACCAGATGAATTCATAGTTGAATTCTACCAAACATTTAAAGAAGAATTAATACCCATTCTTCTCAAACTATTCCAAAGAACACAAGAGGAAGGAAACTTCCAAATTCATTCTACAAAGCCAATATTACCCCAATACCAAAACCAGATAAAGACATTACAAAAAAAGAGAACAGACCAATATCTCTTATGAATATAGATGCAAAATCCTCAATAAAATATTACCAAACCAAATCCAATAAAATATTTTTTAAAATCATATACTGCAATCAACAGGGATTTATTCCTATAATGCAAGGATGGTTTAATATGCACAAAACATCACATCAGTAAGAGAAAGGGTAACAACCATATGATCATTTCAACAGATGCAGAAAAAGCATCTGACAAAAGTACAACATCCACTCATGATAAAAACCCTCTACCAAGTAGGTCTAAAGGGAACATATCTCAACATACTAAAGGTCTTAGATGAAAAACCCACAGCCAACATCATACTCAATGGTGAAAAACTGAGAGCTTTTCCCCTAAGGTCAAGAACAAGACAAGATGTCCACTCTCAACATTGTTATTCAACAGAGTACTAGAAGTCCTAGCCACAGCAACCAGACAACATAAAGAAATAAAAAGCATCTGAATCAGTAAGGAAGAAGTAAAACTTCCACTATTTGCAGATGACATGATATTATATATAGAAAACCTTAAGACTCTACCAAAAAAATACTCACTAGAACTGATAAATTCGGTAAGGTTGCAAAACACAAAATCAATGTACAGATATCTGTTGCATTCCTATACACTAATAATGAAGCAGCAGAAAGTGAAATTAAAAAAACAATCCCAGGGGCGCCTGGGTGGCTCAGTGGATTAAAGCCTCTGCCTTCGGCTCAGGTCATGGTCCCAGGGTCCTGGGATCGAGCCCCGTATCAGGCTCTCTGCTCGGCAGGGAGCCTGCTTCCTCCTCTCTCTCTCTGCCTGCCTCTCTGCCTACTTGTGATCTCTATCTGTCAAAATAAATAAAATCTTTAAAAAAAAAAAAACAATCCCATTCACAATTAAACCAATACCAATAAA